TGATGATGATGATGATGATGATGATGATGATGATGATGATGATGATGATGATGATGATGATGATGATGATGATGATCCGCCTACACAATTTAGATTATTCACGAAGCTGTCTTCGACCAGACGGAGAGGGATACAACATCCCAACAGACAGACCGAGATACTCGTTAAAAGCCCCTACCCTCCCCCGGCAGGAATCGAACTCAGGTCTTCTGTGGACGAGGCAACTAACCGCTGAACCATACTGCCGTGCCTGGGCAGACCGACGTATCTACAAAAAATTATTAATTTGTTCATCTTCATTTAAATGGACGCTCATACACATTCTGCATCTTGTGTCAAAGGCAGGAAGACGTATCTGCACTACACATAGGATATTTCACTATGGCAAACAGACCCAATTGAAGGGCTATGCCCTTATTCCCAATGGCTGCGTGACGAAACTCAAAATCATAAAAAGTGCAGATACGTCGCTCTGCCTTGGCAGGGCAGCTTAGAGCCTGGTTACCACAATGAAAATATATTATTATTCCATAACAAGAGCATCAAAATCTCTTTCCGGCCACAGATGCTAGGAAAAATAATAACCGGCACTGACTCTCCAAGAACAACTTTCGAAGACTCCACCTCTTTTTACAAGTCATTGGGCCGAGAGCATACGCTCAAAATCTACAGTCCGGACAACACCAAATGTACAACTTTTCGATCTCATTACACCGAATCTGAGGGGCGAATCTCACTGATTTTTTACATTCGCTGCTGAATTCTAAAAGACCTAAACAATAACGATTTTCGCGATAAAAATAAAAAGGTGCTGTCTATATATATAATTATTAGTAATTAATTGCTCATTAAACACACCGTACACTTTTTATAGCAAGCACGGTAGGCTACTATGCTAAAACCGTAGCAATACAGGGTGTCGTTGCAAGGGCAAAACCAGAAATTTCAGAGGATTGGGGAGGGGGTTACCCATAAACGGGGGTCAACAGAGTGCTAAATTTGAAGCGCAAATGGGCATGACACTG